CTGGCTACAATGATGTAAAGAAGTCAAGTGACCGAGAAGAGATAGCAGAAATTGAAAAGATGCATGCGCTTATAAGGCAACACAATCTGGATGGGCAGTTGAGATGGATTTCTGCCCAAACAAATAGGGCACGTAACGGTGAGCTATACAGGTACATAGCTGATAAGAGGGGCATCTTTGTTCAGGTATGATGTTTTGTAATAACTGACATACTCATTTATGGTCACCTTGGGTGCCATATTTTGGAGGGGGTTGGAGTGAAGTCTTTGGAGGCCTGGAGGGCTTAGTCTAGTTGATAAATATAATGTTTCAAAAAATAAATAAATGAATAAAGAGGGTGTTGGTAAACAACCTTTTCACCCCCATAAACGCTGTTTGGCATTTGAGGCCAAAGAGTTGTTTGAACAGCTAACTAGGTGTTTCGTTGAGAGCAGTTTGGCTTTTAACAACTTTTATTCAAAACTACAAACTCGGTTTATAGACTTTAGACTTGTTCCATTATTTCAACTATATTAAAACAAAAATTATTCACCTACACACAAAAATTTGCAATGAATAATACTCCGTACAATATAACCAAGGGCAATAAGGTAATTTTTATGAAAAAGACTTTTTGGTGAACTCTTAATTTTACCAAACAGCTTTTCTAAAACCGCTAATCCAATTTCTACTAATCCAAACAATTGATCCAAAAGACTAACAAAAAGCAGCTGTTTGCCAAACTCTCCCAAAAGGCCATAGACATGTTATACGGTTCCATATCTCCTCAATCTTTCAATTTTATAAAATCTCAATTACATATTTGATTATAGACCATGCGATCACCCCAAAGTCTCAACCCCTCCAAAATCCTCCATGCAAATAGACCCTTAGTTGTTACTATCCTGGAGTATTTGTCTAGTTTTGACTTTTTTCAGTCAACCGCTTTCAACCTTTGACTTATAATTAAATAAAATATACTATATTGTATATTGATAAAATGAAATAATATTTTTAAAATATTTTATATAATAAATCTAATAAAACTATTTTTGTATCAATATCTAATATCATTTTTATTTGATTTGAGGTCAAAGTTTACCAATTTTGACCGAAAAAAGTCAAAAGTGGACAAATACTCTAGGACGGAAGGAGTAGTTGTTAATAATGCACATGACGAAACTGTGAAATTTAACCAAGGTTCTTCTTCTTCCTTACTAGCCTGCATTTTATGAAGCTTTTGGGTTGACTGTGGTGGAAGCCATGACTTGTGGCCTTCCAACATTTGCAACCAGCCATGGTGGGCCCATGGAGATTATTGAAGATGGTTTATCAGGGTTCCATATTGATCCTTACTACCCTGATCAAGCTGCTGAACTTATGACCAACTTCTTCCAAACATGTAAAGAAAATCCTGAATACTGGGTTAAAATCTCTGAAGCAGGTCTTAAGAGGATAAAAGAGAGGTGTGCTTATATAACAGAGAAGATACATTGACATCCCATGTCCATTCTAATTTAATATAAAAATAAAGCATTGTTTGCCTATTCTAGGTATACATGGAAAATTTACTCAGAGAGACTGATGACTTTAGCGGGAGTTTATGGTTTCTGGAAGTACGTTTCAAAGCTTGAGAGGAGGGAGACAAGGCGATACTTAGAGATGTTCTACATTCTCAAATACCGCGAGTTGGTGAGTTCTTTTGTCTCATAATTTGTCAATTTGCACATTCTCCATAACTATTTGGGTAAATCACTTGTTTACTCCCACAGTTATGCAGTCGTAGCAGTTTTATTTGTCTCTGCAATTTTTTGTGAAAAAAAAGAGAGACTTTGAGTGTATCCCTTGGTAGCTGTTTTAGTCATTCTCTCCTATAACACCTTGGGACTAAAAATGCTATAGCAGGGACTTAAATAGACACTTAAGGGATCTCACTAAATTTGAATAGCTAGATATTCCTATAAGAGTTTACAGGGATCTCTTTTATAACACCTTCTAGAATATCTAAGGTTGTAGTAAAAAATGAATTGAAATCCTCCAACATACTTTTCTTAGCACTAATAACTGTATTACCTATTGAAGCACCCTGAGTTATCATCTCCCCTGAGGATTGAACCCGTGACCTCCCATTTGGAAGAGTCAATTTGGTGCCATTGGACCACAAGGTCTTCGGCTTCCGGCATACTTTTGTTATGTCATTGCGGTGTCACTCCATTTGATTGCTTGGAATCATGTTAATTAATACTCCTTGCTTGCTGTAGAAAGAGTCTTTTTGGGGAACTAAAAGAGTCCTTGAAGAAAACACTAATTTGTAATTATATCCAATAGTTTTTTATTTTAAAAAAAGTTTCTCAAACAAGTTATGTATGTTAAATTTGGTTAAACAAACAAACAAATTTTAAATATATAGCTTTAATTATTAATTTCCAGTAGTTGTATTTACCTTACTAAAATTTAGTTGTACCTTGGTGAATAAGGACTGTCAAATAGCCCACATCCCCTAATTATGCCCATGAATAAAAATTCTTGAGTGGGAGTATTGCCTTCCTGTTTTCAGGTAAACTCTGTTCCCTTGGCAGTTGATGATCAGTGAAACTGTTTGACTTTGGTGGAGGATGAATATAATAATGTTGTGTATATGTAAGCACTAATAAAAAATGCACCTCATAATCGGGTTCAAACTGCGAGTAAGCTGTTCACCATCCCAAGTTCAAGTACCATTTGGATGAGGGAGCTAGGTTGAATGGGATTCCATGCCGTTGAACCCGTATTAGTAGTTCCGTGCATGATCCTCTCATCCTCCCACGGTACTCTAGAAATATGTTCCATGAATGTTCATATCAAGAGAATGATGCAGGTATGTATTGTATTTCACTTGTGCTGTGTATGTCAATATCTCGTTTCGTTCGAATAAGATGGATTTTACCTTGGCCTATGTGTGTGTATTTTACGGTTTAGATTTCATGGGACAATTCCACGGGTAGACTTACTACATGAGCGGCCTATGTCATATTCTACCGGTATCATAAATCTCTACGGTCCAGTTGGGTAAAATTTAAACCTACAAGAGTGGGGCGGGGTATGCCGCGTAAGGACATGGCATGAACCAAGGTTGAACTCAACTTGTGAATCCTTGTGCCAGTAACTTGAGCTAGGTCAAACTCCCAAAGCTAGTGCAATGGCGATTGTTACCATGCTACAAGCCCACAGTGAACTAGATAATTGTCAAACTTCTGTAGGTCAAACTCTAATGCACCCTAATCTTACTTGCCTTTTATAGGAGAACTAGAGGAGTAGTTGGTTGTTCTATCATTTGTCAAAGCCTATACTTACCTTTTTGTCATGCCAAGTTACCCATAAAAGCAGTCAAGCAGGGACAAATATTTTCCCCAGTACTGTATGTTTCTTAGGTACTGTAAGATTTATGGGAGTAGATACTAAGTTTGGGGCTCATTTTTTGGCATTTTTTTGTGTGGAGGTTTTTGAAGTAATGGTTTTTCAAATAACTAGTAGAAATATTTGATCAGCAGATTTATGAAACTTTTGATCCTATAGAATTGGATTTCAATAAATTTCGAAATTTCCAAGCTTTTTGAAGACATTTTTTTCAGTTTCAACATTCTACTAAAAGAACCTCTTAAGTAAATACAAACCTCTAAAAGTTGTGTCAAGTAGGGCCAATATTATTGTTACTCCAAAATTCTGTTTTTCATCTTCTTTTGTACACTAAAAAGGATGAACTCGAGCTTGAGAGTCCCTTAGAATTGATGAGAGTGAATTATAAGAGTGAAATTGTAGAGTAGACTTTGTTTTGGTGCTCCCTCCGTCCCTAAATAAACTTCTAAATTAGTATTCATATTGTCAAATTATTTCTCATTATTTTTAACTTATTTACATTAATCAGTTATAATAAAATACGAGTAGTACCGAGTAACATTAACCATTTGTTATATTTCATCCGATACTAAAAAAAAATTTGGTTTTGGTTTTTAAAAAACTTAACAAGACAATTCTCATGACATTGTCCGGCAATATCATATGATGACCCGGGACACTCTGGTGCCCCGTTCATAAAATTAACGGTTCTTACCCTTCTAACCCCGGTAGATCTGATAAAGTAACGGCTAACCCCCCCCCCATTCCATTCCTATCAATTTTCTACTGTGGGGAGGGTAACCTCTTCCGCAGAAACGTCAGACTAAGCAGCAGCGCCTGTTATGTTAGTACTGGTACCCTTTTTGACCATGTGATAAAGCGACCAATGGGGAGCGCGGAACAACTCCCAAAGCTCTGCTCCCACATTACTCATTACTTCCCCTGTTTACCCCCCCTCACGTGATTTTTCCCCAACATACTCGTAACAACAGTGATTTTCTTGGGGCCCACACTCAACGGCACTGCACTTTCTTTCTCTTGTCCCTGATCCCCCCATGGGCCCCACATTTGATGCCTTAATTGACTACTTATTCGTACGGAGCCACTATTTCGACTACACTTGTCCAGTTGCCCATGATCCTACGAAAAAAAATGAGATCTCTCTCTTATTTTTATCTCTTAATCGGTTAATCCTTGTGTCCCAAAGTCCACACTTTTTCTTTTATTAAACTTTCCCTAACGTTTCCAGTATTTAAGGCCATCTAAAATGGATGTCTGAATTCTGCTGTGTTGCTTGAGAAACGACGCCGGCTGTGCCGGGCTCCCATTGCAAGGCACCCGGCGAAAATTCAGCCACGGCGCAGGCCACTCCAGAGGAGCCCATCTGGTCCGGTAACCTGTCGATTTTGGAGTCGAATTTATTTTTTAAAAATTTTTTCAGCCTCCATTGCACCGGTTGCAATGGGCCTATCTCATTTCAATTTTAGACTATTACTCCCACACATTGAATTTCTTATTTTAATATTTGGTAGGGTTTGAAAGGATGTAATTTATAATCAAAATTTATGTAAAAGAAAATAAAGTACAAACATTCAAGAATATTATCAATGTTTGGAAACCTAACCTTGACTAAGAGAGCAAAAATGGATGGAACAAAGTTGGAACATCATTTTGGGGCACATAGCACATATACTCTCCGTATCATTTTGGCCAATTTTGGGTGTAGGCTCCAAACATTCACAAAGACAGTTTTTTTTTTACCCAGATAAAAGAGGTTCCCTCCATTTTACTAATAACACAAGAACAAGATCAGGCCATACTAATTAAGCAAGCACATTTTCATTCAGTGACTCCATACTTAATAATGATAATACCCCCAAATACACACAATTAACTAATTAAGAAAACACATCCCCAGCCACCTTGAGCTGTGAAGTTAAAGCTGTCCATAGGAGTGAGCCAGGTACGCCAGGGCTCCGACAAGTGGCGCGTTGATGTAAGTGGACGGCTCAGATTGCTCGTAGTCCGACCGCTGATCCGGGAAGTTGTCGTGCTGGTCCGGCCCGCCAACCACCGCCCCCACAAGCACGTTCGGATTCGGCGCGCCCGAACTCATCACGCTGAACCCCGCCCGACACTGGATCTTCCCCGGGTGCGCCGCCACGGACGGCAGGGAGGATCCCCTGTGGTGGATCCTCTGCGGGTATCTCGTGCCGTACCCCACCATGTAGGACATCCGCAGAGGGTTGTCCCCCAACAGGTAGTCCACCTGCCTCCTGGCAACACCCTTCAGGTGCTTCGGAGTGACCACCACGCCGCCGCAGTTGACAAATGTACGGGCGGAGGTGAGGTACTTGGCGTAGGTGAGGAGGAGGAAGGCGGTGGAGGTGACGTACTGCATGTTACTGTCGCTCATCTTGAAGAGAAGCCCCGCCGGAGTGTACTGTGCTTGGGAGGTCGGAGTCCCAGGGACGAGGGAGCAGATATAGTTGTCGGCGTGGCCCTTGTAGTCGTGGAGGGTTTGGATTCTCTGTACCAGGAAGGATTTCGAGAGGAGGATTCTTGCCCCCACGTGCTTGTTGTCCCACCCGAAGGTGTTGTCTGTCTCCCCTGCCCCTAGGGTCTGCCCGTTGCGCTCAATGTAGTTCAAGTACGCCGCGTTCCTGGTGGCTTTGTGCAGCCACGCCGCCCCCCACAACAGCTCGTCTTCGTACCCGGAGAATGAGCAGTAGAAAGGGCACACAAACTGCCTCAACCCGTTGCTGTAGGAGCCTCTGTACTTATTGGCGAAGGCAAACACCCGGACGGCCCGGCGGGAGAGGGTTTTGGAGTAGGAAGGGTCGCACCTGCGGAACACCAGAGATGCGGCGGCGAGAGCGGCGGCGGTTTCGGCCGCGACCTCCGTCCCGGGGTTGTTCTTGTCGACCTTGAACACGCTCCTGGGAGTGTCCATGTCCTCCGGCCTCTCCCAGCAGGCGTGGTCCCTGTTGGCGTCCCCCACCTGGACGTATATGACGTCCGGGTAGGCAGTGGCCTTGAGGAGGTAGTCTGTGGCCCACCGGATTGCCTCCCTGGCGTTCTGGAGCTCCCCTTTCATCAGGCCGCCGAACTCCAAGACGCTCCATGACAGCATTGTGGTTGTGAATGCCATTGGGAAACCGAACTTCACGTTGTCCCCTGCATCATAGTATCCTCCCACCAAATCCACCTGCATTTTTTCACAATTTGTTAGAATATAAAAATGTTTTTCGAGTCCACAAACACGATATTAGTTCATTGAAATTTGTACAAAGACAGAGTTTAAACATCACAAAAGGTAAATTCAAAAAGACCCAAATTGCATTTTGAGGATGGGAAACAGAGACTAAATGGGGAATGGAAGGGTGGAGAGTGACATACACGCGCCGCGGAGCCGTCGGAGAGGCCGGAGTTCCTTCTCCAGGTGATTCTCTGGTTAGAGGGGAGTCGGCCGGACCTTTGACCCTCGTAGTAAAGGATGGACTTGGTGAGGGCATCTCTGTAGTTGTGGGATTCGGCGGAGCGAGGGTGGCGAGTGCGGCCGTAAGGGTGGTAGGCATTGCAGGGGAACAGGGGAGCGGCGGCGAGGAAGCATAATAGGAGGAAGGAGAGCGTGAGAGAGGAGGAAGAAGAGGAAAAAGCCATTGTGTGGAGCAGATGGGAATAGACCCAAGTGATTAGGCGACGAGGCGAGTGGGCTTCTCACTCACTCCTCTGTAACTATATTTATAGGCCAGTCAACTGCTCTTTAACGTCCTCTTTTTCCTCTCCTCGATTCATTAACTATCCCCCATGGATAATTTTTTTTTTTTTTTTGAAAAGAACTATGGATAAATTTCGCATAGCATATTGTGTGGGAGCAAACCGAGCAATAGCATCTTGGGTTGGGAAAGAATCCGAATCCGTTGTCCCGATCTGAAATATTTCGATCTCGTCCTTATAATATTTCATTTTGTTTGAAATAACAAAATTTTGACCCTAACCCGTTCCGAACTATTTTAAAATGGAACGGGACCGAGACACATAAACATTATATTTTCCCGTTTCATCATGTTGTCCTGTATATATGTATATTTATTTATTTATATAATGATACTCCCTCCGTCCCCCGAAGATGTTCTCATTTTGACTTTTGGTGGTTTTTAAGAAAAGTTGAAAAAAGGTGAAAGTTTACCATAATACCCTTAATGAAAAATGGGTGGAGTGTATTAAATGAGGTGGGTGAGGTGTAATAAATAAAGTAAGTGGGGGTAGTTGTGGTATTTTAATTGTTAAAAAATGAAATGAGAAGATCTATTGTGGACAAAAAAAGGGCTATTGGAAAGATCTATGGGGGACGGAGGGAGTATAACACAAAAGAGTATCACAATTTTTGTTTTTCTCAAGGTAGATACAAACAAATATCCAAATTTAAATGTTCTAAAAAAATGGATTATGACACAGATACCTAAAAATTCAGACCGTTCAGACATGTCTGCCAGTCTCACCCCACTTTGTGGCTCTTAGTTTTTTATGAAGCTTATAGTTTGAACGTTTGACGTGTAATGTAACATTTTTTTCATGTTTTCTTGTTGTTTTGGCTTTTATAAAATATTCTAAATAAATATCATTTTTTCATTACTTTGCAAGTCAAAATGCGTTGTCTCTCCCTTATGTATTTTCTATTTTGTATCTAATTTCGGACAATGACAAAGCAAGACAATCTGGATCCGTTCTGTTTCTCCATTTCGAATCGTATGAAAAAATAGACAAACCGCAAGACAATATAAAATCCGAACTATATCGATCCGTGCCCACCCCTAAATTAGTATCCATATTTTCTTAGGATACTACGGAGTTTCCCTTTATTCAATTTAGCGTCATATTAGATTCCATGAATTCCATACTTTTTATACTATTTGAAGTAATTCGCAAACTTACTTTAACCATTCTTTAAATAATTCACTTAAAGTAATAATGTAAATTAATTTTAAAATAGTTTTTAAATTAGTTTTACCCGACGTTCTTCTCAGCTCGTTGCTTGCAGCCCACCAGAATTTATCATGGTCAGAGCATGTTTTTGTCCACCACATTTGTTTGCATATGAAAAATGACATGTGCCTCATTTAACCTAATTGATCGTCTGAAGTCTATATTGAGCAATTCGTGGTCATTTAAGTGTAAGCCCTTTTGGTACTTTCATGTCATGTGGAAGGGAAATTCATTTAAAAGTAGTCAACATGTTAAATTTAAAATGACTCAGTTGTCTACTTGAGCTGGAGAGTTAGAGAGTGTCACATCAAAAAAGTGAGAAGAAATAAGTACGTATATAAACTTTTGAGTTGAATTAAATAATTGCTTGGATTGAATCTTTTAATTTGATTTGGCTCAAGTGTATCTACATGCATTTTTTGAAGGCAAATTTTATTGTGAACTTAAGATCCATCATTCATTTACATATGAGTACTATAAGTATTTTTTTACTGTTTAAATAAGCATGTGTTTTTTTAATACTAAAATAATAAAAAAAATTATGTGAAAAAGTCTACAAAAATGATATGCACCCAATGGCCACAATAGAAGCACTCTCTTTTTAAACCTATCCATATGCATAATATAATGATTCTACATGTTTTTTTCTAAACCTATCCATATGTATGATATAATGATTCTTTTAAACATAATAAAATTTTATTTTAAAATGTTCTAAAAAAGAAAATAAAAAGTTATTTTAGTATTGAAAATGTGAGTGTGTCGGCTAAAGAGGAAGAAAATGAGGTTTGAATTGAAGGGCCTCAAATTGCCCCGTCCTTGATGCCCCCCATTCATTTGATTTGATTTCCTTTTTTATCCTTTACATAGTGTGTTTTCTTTAACTCACAACATTTTTGTCTTAAAAACAAATTTCTACTATAAATTCATTTTTTTGTTTAAAATAAATTTCTACTATAAATTCATTTTTTTGTCATCAAGTGTGATTAATTAAAGTTTAATTTATCTTCTTTCAAGTGACTGTCTATTCAGTTCACTCCGATCCGTATTGAGTATTTCTTTGTTTAAGACATCCACAATACTCCTTCTGTCCTAAAATTAAATTCTCAGTTTGACTTTTGCAGTCAAACTTTTTAAACTTTGACCATATATTATGAAAAAATATATTGAATTTTTATATAAATTATTATCAATAGATTCATTTTGAAACATAGTTTTGAAATATGTTATTTTTGTAATATATATTCATATAAAAATGGAAATATTAATGGTCAAAGTGTCACATTGGAGACCGTGAAAAGTCAAATGAGAAGTTAATTTTAGGACGGAGGAAGTAATATATTTAACCGCACTTGATTTCTGCCTTCTAAAACCCACATGTACTTAGCCTGATCCCAACTCACCCCTATTGGCATTCCAAATTTAGTTGATATTGAGTTATTGACCAGCATGTCAACTAAATCTAGGGGTGCATTAATTAGGGCCGGGTTTAGGTGGGGGTTTAAGAAGAGGGGTAGAGCATGAGAAACACTTTGGGATGGAGACATTAAATTTTGACTGTAAAATGTCGAAACCAAACAAATATTCTGGGACAGAGACATCAATACACACACACAACTTATAAGGTACGTACGTAGTCGTTGGGTATGGATAATGCATGCATGGAAAGTTAAATAATGATAAATAAAATTGAAGCAATATATTTCAAAGATTTAATTAAGCCAGCATGGCAAAGAGTATGTAGTATATATGTCTCCGATCTTCCTCTTCAATCTTCATCATGTGCAGCCCTCCTTCAATTCTTTTGCATGCACCTGCATAATAAAAACACTTCTATTCCATAACCCCATTTATGTATGTACTTGTTAGCCATGTCTCATGTGCATGCATGGGTGCAGGTTATTTTCAAGATATAATATAGGTTTTGGAATGTTTTTTTTTAAAAAAATGTTTGTTGTTAGTGGTATTTCTTGTAAAAATGTTTACTATGTATTTCGGGATGAATAGCGTGGGTACGTGTTAGACCTGATATTAGCTAGGCTCATCTCATCAGGACTTGTACATATACGGGATTGTGGTCGATTAATGAAATGCATAATAGTTACAATGCCATATTTCTACATTTGTATATATCCCCACACCCACGTACTCGCAGAACCACATCGGAACAAGCTAAGTGACTACTAGCTATTGCATTCATCACTACATTTGTGTCTATATATATATATAAGGAGTAGATACAATACATGCAGATATGACGATGGACTGCTTATTAGCGCATCTATCAATTAAGGGATTAATAAGTGGACAAGATATCAATTTGACAAGAAGATGGTAACAATTGATTGAAGAACTTTTATTGATTCTTATTGATCCGAAAGTCGTTTTAATGTGTGTATGTATAGTAATTGCACACCATGTATTCGACAACGGGCCTATGAGACCTAATTTTATTTAAACGTCTCGGGTACCCATAATTGCTAGACCTAATTTTATTTAAACGTCTCGGGTACCCATAATTGCTAGACCTAATTTTATTTAAACGTCTCGGGTACCCATAATTGCTAGACCTAATTAATTTTATTTAAACGTCCCGGGTACCCATAATTGCTAGACCTAATTTTATTTAAACGTCTCGGGTATCCATAATTACTAGACCTGCCCTCTACTTGTGTCCCCACTGGTGTTCGAACGTTACTAGCTACAAAAAAAAATATTATCGAACGTGACTAACTTCACATTATACTCTTCCTTTCCGCTCGTTGGATCCATTGTAGTTACTTTGCGCATGCATATCAAACAATTCTATCTTTTTTATTTGCACAATCTGTCATCAACATTGATAATTCAATAATTAATTCTATAGCTAATTGTGGATATTGTAACTTTATTTTAATACAAAAAGAATTACAGTCTTATATAGATATTTTATTCATGTTTCACTTCTAGTGAATATTTAAGAGCATTTCTGACGACCAAATTGAAATAAAAAAAGATCACTTTCAAAACAATTCTTAAATGGTAAAATAAGTTGATTATGGTCTTGTTTAGCGTTTTGAATAATACTGAGTACTTTAGTTGCGTGATGTAAATTTATTTTAAAAATTTTAGTATTAGACACTCATTAGATTAGTTTATCAAAATGTTAAGGTTAATAAATCGTTAGACTATTGTTAAACAAATACTCTGTGTATTCGATACTCCGTAATATATATAGAAAATGAAATATACTCCGTATCTAAATAGTACTAAAACATAATGAGTTCCTCAATGTAGTACCATTGTTGTTATTTTTCAATGTAGCATCATATATATGAATGTTGAATGTCGACATTCTTCAAGTAAATGTCCACCGCAATATTGTTCGAAGTAAATATTCAGTGCCACTAGATATTATTCAAATACTATTTAAAAAATAAAATGTACTCCCTCCGTCCCCCTGTATTTGTCCACATTTGACTTTTGGAACTGTTAATCTAAGCACTTTGACTCATCAAATTCTCTCAATGTGTAAGCTTAAATATAGTCATGTGTGATCTTGTTTGATTTGTCTTAACATATAGATTATTAATATATAATTTTTATAATTTTTTAATATACAAATTACAAGATAAAATGGATTAAAGAAGTGCATTGGATGGTGTGTAAAAATGAAAGTGAATAAATACAGGGGAACAATTAAATACTTCGTACTCCGTATAATTTAATTTGCATCCAATTCAAGAAGGTTATGGGA